CCCCTTTACCCGGAATCGTCGCAATTAGATCTATCACAACACGCAAAAAGTCACGGCTTAAAAGGTTGCTAACTGACAGAATAACTTCGCTCTCATTGCCGGTACTGTGCGTATATATGGGGCGACTGGCTAGATGAGTGAGAGTCAGGCTCAGTAGTTCCTTTTTATTGTGGTCTTTATGACACTCTCATGCGCATGAGATCCGAACCACCGTCGCGAGCACCTGATACATTTAGCGACGAATAGTTTGTGTGCGTGACATTAATCAACGAACAGTTCGGTTTTGTCAACCATTGTGACCGAAATCGCCTCCAATCAACATAACTCCGTCTTGTCCTCGGAGCCAAGTTAACGAAGGAGTGCGGTAGGTGCATCGAAAGTCCGCCCCGCTATGAACCATTTCTAGCGCACATCACCGTCCAGCATCCTCTCCGGTGGGCACTCGGTGGACTTCGTCGTTTGTGATGATCTAAATGTCTGGATACTTGATTGTCCTGCACATCCACCTTAACCCTGTGTCATTTGACCATCCGCGTGTTCACGACGAGGCACATTTAGACAGTTTATTTATTTTTTGTATGTTGGAGCCCACGGTCATCACATTCTGCCGAAGAGGCTCCCGCTCCCAATAAGTCCGACATCTGTTCTGAAGTGAATGCTGGGTAGTGCGGTAGAGAGACAATACTTCTCAAAATTTGAATGCCGACTTGTCGATACAACTTTGTTCGCCTGGAACTCGTGAGAGACATTCCAGTGTGAACGTCTTTGTCAGGGGTCATACTCACGTGGTCGCTTACTGGGGATACATGCCCTGGGCAACAATAGTGTCTTAGTTGTAATAATTAAAAATGGATGAGTTGCTAAAACGAATCGTTGGAAGGTTTGCGAGAGATCCGTCATGGTTGGATATAAAACGCAAACAACACAGACAACACAAATAAACTCCGAGACGACCAGCCTAACGTTCATACCACAAAGAGGTATAGTTGTCAACGCTTGGGTTTAATGAACTACGCGTACATTTTTCCAGGTTCTCTTGATGCCTCTTTTAAACTTCATTTGAAGTGTTCATCTTTTAGCTCATCCCTGACTTATCACTGAAGATAATGCCAATAATCGTAAGTGGCTGGTAGGGTGATTGTCTTGGCGATCTGTGGTCTTTTGCTAACGCAACGTATAACGAGCGTGGAGGCTTCGCGTTGGGAACTTAGTATCGTTGTAAGTGTAAAGGATTCCGTTTCAACAGTCCATTAACCCTACAATTCCGGAAATTGTAAGAACCAATCACTCCCCTTTTGGTTTTTTAGTAGACTGGGCCTCGATAATTGCTGGTCTTCATTTCTGAGCCTCTAACGTTTCGAAAATCAGGACAGTGAGGCCTACACACTGTTTATCCCAACTTTAAAATATGATGAAATGAATGCTCGATGACGCCAAAAATTCAACGCATAGTCTGCCTTACGGCAAAAAATCCTTATAAAGATCTGGAGTTAGCTCCCCTACAACATTTCTATATTTAAGACCCACTTAGCTGTGCCATTCGGATGCTCCGCAGACGATGGTGACAAATAACCCTGTTTCCGTAAACCAGAGAGTTCACCCGACAGGTCATATTACCGGTCAAGTTTGTCGAATGCACTCGACGCAAGTTCCACAAAACTATCGAAGCATTAGGACGCAGTTTACGCGATCTTCAAATCAGCATCGATCACAAAGAGGTATCTATGATGCTCGGCCAAGTCACAAATATAAAGGACAGGTTAAAATCAGGAGGCTGATGAATGATATCTGTCGTACTTCCTGCGCCGATTCGTACAGCAATTGCAGGGGAAACCTGAGGGAAAGCTGGAAACTGGCTTAGGTGACCATAATTGGCCAGTAGAACGGGAGGCCAATTATGGACCGTGGCTACTGAATCTATCGGATAAAATAGTACTTTTAGTTTTACTGTTAAGTCGATAGTTAACAGCGCCGATCGCAGAGCGATCAAGGCGTGAGCATACATTCGAGCATCCCCAAGCAGATGCGCGAACTCGCAAACTAATAAGAAGAGCTACTTAACGGAGTTGAAACCGCAACACAGCCATCACGTTTGTGACTGCTTCGAATATCGACATAATTTTCCACAGTGACAGAAATTCGAGGTCAATGGTTAATTTGGCAGTATTTTCACTTCTCCGAAAAAAAGCTCGGGATTCTATACAAAAGATCAAGTAAAAAACTAATATTGTCAGCAATTGGCTCTTGAATTTAAACTTTTAATCTGCAACATATCGGCTTAGATTTTAAAAAAAGTAGAGGATTACGTTAAGGAACTACCTAAGCAGTTTAAATACTTAAAGGCACTGATGGACTTTGTGCATGGCCTAGAAATGAAATAGTTGAAAGTGATTCTGATCAAACGGACTCGTGTGCTGTGGGCAAACTTAAGCCGCAGACCTGCGTTATCCCTTGAGAGTAAGTTCAGGCCCATCCATTAACCGTCAATGAAAATGCCTGGGGACGCTTATCGCCTTCAGTGCCAATAGAGCAATAATTCCATTTTGTTGAACCAAATCTGGTGTCATTTCTCGACTTTCCCTGACAGGTCCAGTTCTTTTCGAATATTTCAACACAGAAACAGTAAATGTCAGTTTTGTTTGGCGCTAAAATATCCTCAGCAGCCGCATTAAATACGCACAGCACTCATTAGATGAGTGTATTTGTCAATAATCAGGTGATGCGAAGTTACTAAATTCATCCCAGTTATATCAAAAATTATAGGCATGATTGCTGAACAGAACGGACGAAAATGACCCTTCTCGCAAAGTCCTGTAAGGACTTGGCAGTAGATTTAAGACTCCCACTACTAACAGGCGTTTTGGTTGATATGAATTTGCGGAAAAATCTTCGTTCAGTTGTCTTCTGCAGGTACAGTGGGTATAAAATAAAACAGCTACGAAGAAGATGGCATTGCAGTTATTTTGGACTAGCGGTGACAAGATCCCAATTTTGCGCTTCAGCCGCCGTGAGTTCCATCTTGATGTCTGTTCGTGACCTCATGTAATCAGTAGTAGGCCCCATCGGAATAAGTGCCAAAACCGCGGAAAGGGGCACAGTTAGCTGAACATGGCCGCTGCCTTCCGTGTATCCGACAGAAAATGTATAAAGAGTGTTTCTATGCATACCGTTTCTTTAAACTTGGGTATAATTTCTACGGCATTTATGCATATTATGTGCTCGTGTAGTTATTCCACCCGATTCGACCAGATTGTGGATGCGTATCATGTAACTCCCAGTTGTCATTCGCAAATTAAAATCTAGACAAGTAAGATTTCTCGAAAGGGCGGGTAATATCAGGTAGCGATGGAATGCGGAAACGCGATCCTGTTTGGCCAACGAATTGACATTTCTATATTTTTACTGATGCTAGTAGGTGTTCAGCATTAATAACTTCCGTAATAACATTGATTTCAGCATGCGTAGTATAGATAGCGGATTCTTTGAATTTGAAATGTTTCGCAAACTGCTGTGATTAGAATTTGCAAATACGTTAGCGTCCGCGTTTAAAGGTTGAGAATATGGTTTAGGATTTAGGAATAGGGGTAAGATGCGGTTTCGTAGCCCCGCCTGAAGGACATGATACTGAAGGAGACATGATCGTCGGGACAAGAGCTTTATTAGCCTGAAGTTTCGGATTCCTGCTCGAACCCACCAGCAGAGAAAAAACAGATACGGGTGGTTCATGCACAAGGGGCTGCAGTATTTATAGGATGCAGTCGCCATGCTACCGCATACCCATGCATGTTTACGGCTCCCCCCTTCATCAGGGATTGTTGCACGTGGTGTGATGACTGTTTGATGGCCGAAATTTGCGTCGTTAATTGCTGCAATCTCATCACGTGCGTTGAATGTTAGTGTGATGATTGCTCGACCATCTGACGCATCGACCCTGGTGTTGGGAAAAGTGTTCACCTGTGCGCTCCCCGCGTGGTTAATTACTCCGCCTAGGCGAAGTCTCAGCACCAAGTATGGAAGGGGATGACCATTGCACTTGTTAATGGACTGGGGGTCAGTAAACTATGACTCAAGCAGCTCCCGGCTCACGCGCTTGTCACCTCTAGCAAGAATTTTGGCTTCGTCGAATTTGAATGTGTGGTCGGATCTCATCGAATGAGCCGCAACTTGAGAGCTGGCGTCATTTCTCCGCACCAATGCAGCGTGTTCGGCCATTCGCGTTCGGAGTTGTCTTCCGGTTCCTCCGACGAGGTTGCTTTGTCAGCAAATGCGCCAGATCCGATAAACGACTCCAGACGTTTCTTACCGTGGCAGCGGGTCTTTTGG